TCTTTGGCCATGGTGACCAAGATATCGTCCACGTAGTGGTAAATGATTGCTGAGGGGTAAAGCCTTCTGATAGGGTAGATAGCCTTTGCCACAACAGTCTGATATATTGTCGGGCTGTTTCTCATCCCCTAATGCAAAACAACCCAGTGGTATCTCTGCATTGGCTGTGTGTGGTTTAGAGCAGGGATGGAGAAAGCAAATTGTGGCACATCGTTATGGTGTAGAAAAACAGTGAAGAAACAGTCTTTTAAATCGATTACCACTACCGACCATCCTGCTGGAAGCATAGCAGGTGAAGGAAGCCCTGGCTGCAATGCCCCCATAGGTTCTATCACTGAGTTGACTGCTCTTAGGCCATGCAGCATCCTCCACTTGCCACCTTTCTTGGGTATGCAGAACACCGGAGTGTTCTATGGATTGGAGGTTGGCACTATATGTCCTGCAACGAGTTGCTCTTGAACTAGTTTTCTTAAGTGATTGACCAATAGAGTCATTAGTTTTCCATGTCAGCTTAATCTGTCCTTGGAACGGCTGGTCAATGGCCCTCATTGAAAAATCTGAGCATCTCCATGAGATGCATGACAGCGCCAAACTGTCCCAGTACATCTCGTCCCCATAATGTGCATGGAATAGGAGCAACAAAAGGAGCTACTTTGGCAACTTGTCCCTCTGGCCCCAGCACTGTGTGTAATTGAGCACTCTGCCTAGGCCTTTGCGTGCCTCCAACCCCTGGATAGTCGAAGCAAGATAAACAGTAGGCCATTCAGCTGGCCAATCAGTGTCCTTAATGATTGTAATGTCTGCTCCTGTGTCCACCAGGCCTTTGAATCTGTGTCCGTCTATCTGACACGTCATCATTGGCTGTGCTGCAGAAATGGTCCTTGCCCAGAATATTTGAGGCTTGCCTGTGCTCCTGAAAGCCCCTGAGCACCCTTCCCCCTCCTCAGCCGGTGACACGCTGTAAAAGGGGAACATGCCGTAACTGGGCAAGCCTTTGTCCCTCAGGTATGTAAAAGGGAGGCACTGGAGTCCATGCCATTATTTGTATCTCGCTGTGAGAGTCTGAGCCAATCACTCCGGGTAAGAAAAACAAGCCCATCCTGGTGGTTGATGACCATCCTATTAGAAGGGCATGGACTCCTGGTCTTAAAGGGCCCCAAACTCCTGCAGGGATTAACACTACGGCAGTAGATGTTATAGTTACTGGCTCTCTGGAGGCCAGGTCCAACCCAGCACTACCTGAGGTGGTGGTGAGCAGATCAGTAGCCTGTTTTCTTGAGCCATATTTATTTGTTGAAATGGGGCATGCGGTCTCACGCCCCGTCTCCAGTTTCCCTGCTGGGAAGGGTTTTTTGTCCCCCATTTCCCATGCTGACATTTTTGGCATACTGTTGAGGGAGGTTTCTTGGGGCAGTCCTTTTGAAAATAATCAGCAGCGCCACATCTGTAGCAGCTGTCTCTCCCTCTTGCTCCTCTCCCTGCAATCTTAGCAGGGCACTTAAGGCTGTTGCTAGAGAGGCAGTATGATGTTCAACAGATCCAACACCCTGGTATGCTTGAACCATCTCGGCGATGGTGCAGCTTTCCCTTTTAGAGATAGTCTGCAGAGCTCACTTGCAGTCCGGGTTCGAGTTCTCATATGCCAGCTGCCTAAAAAGCATCTCTCTAGCTTCTTCATGTTTTATTTGCCTGTTTAAAGCTGCCTGCAGCTGAGCAGGGAACTGAGAAAAAGATTCAGTTGATCCCTGCAGGACCTTTCTGAAGGACAGGTGGTTGTCTCTGTCCATGCTAGGGAGCTTTCTCATCGCCCTCAAAGCCAGTTTTGCGATCACCCCTGCTGGGGGTAGCCTACTTGTGAATTTGCTGCCGCGTTCTCCCCCTCTCCTGCCAAATGACTACAAGACATGTCTGCTCGTGAACCTCCTGGGTCATTTGCATATGCTGAGCAATTCTCCCGATAGTCAGTTAACCAGACACTGTACTGAGTGGTAGTTAAAACCATTTTCAACAGTGTCTTCCAATCACGTGGGGTAAATACGTAAGTGGTACTCAGTGTCTCCAGATATGAAAATGTGTGAGACAAGGAAACACCAGTCTCTTTAACTAACTGTCTCAGTTCCTTTGTCACCTCATAGGGCAAGCTTTGGAACTGAGGGTTTTGGCATGGCCGGTATATAACTGGGCATGCTTTAATAACCTGCCAGTCTCCCATCCGCATTGCCTCCTTGTGGCATCTTTCCCACTGGTTAACCGACACCCCCGCGCCTGCCCTCTCGCCCTCGCCCGGAGGAACCACCTCCGGTTCCTCCTCTCCATCTTCTGATGCCTCACTATCCGTGACTCCGATATACTTGGCTCCCTGTGGTGGCATGGCAGAAGATGGCGGGGAAGCACCTCCCCTGTTGTGCACATGGTCGGGACAAGATGGCTGCGGGGCCGGCTCAAGTTCCGGTCCATTTCGCACGCAGGATGGCTGCGCCCATGTCACGTTTCTTGGAGCACGCGGACGTGAGTCATCAGCGACATGGGGGGGGTAAGCTTCCTGGGTGCCCCTCCCCCACGCCATGGCAGGAACCTACACTTCACCCCTGTATACTGGATTCACAAACTAAAATTCCCATCCTATCTCCGCAGCTCACACATGCACCAAAACCGGGACCTTCACCATAACTTACATCGCGTTCCCCCCATTCCTGCCCACGCAAATCCCAACCCGAGTCCATTGTTAGATCCTCTCGGGTCACACGTGGTGCCCCCCCACCGTCGTGTCTGTTCCTGAGTTGTGGGGAATGGTTGTGGCTAGCAGCCTGGCTGGGGGGTGATGGAAAATGTGTGTTAGTGTCTCTGGGGGGCCTCTGTCTTCTTTGAGCGATCTGCAAAGTGTCCGTAACTTGTGTCCAGGTAGGAAGGCACTTAGAGGCTTCTATATCACCTGCCCCTCTATATCACTCTGTCCCTCATGGATCTGCTGATCCTTTGCCAGGTGGTTATATTTAAAGCTTCTACAAGCAGCAGTCCTGGTGCAATGAATTTTATCCATTGCAAGAGACCTGTTATTTCTGCGCGTGTGATCCAATAGGACATTGTCTTAGCAAGAGACACAAGGCTTCTGTATCCCTTTCTATGTCCTGGGAAACCGAATTCCTCATGCTTTTTTTACCTTTTCTCTTACTGCTTTCGTCTCACGTGCATTTTCTCGACGCTTGCTTTTTTCACCAGTTCGGTTCGGCTTTCGGTCTCGCTGCTTCTCGGCTTTTCACTGCCTCGGCTTTTGGCGGTTTCGTTTCTCGCCGCTTCTCTCGGCTCGCGCTCACTGCTGCTTTCTCGGCTTTTCTTCTCCGCATCCTCTCGGCTTTTTGTTCTCCGCCACTCTTCTCCTGGCACGTGCACTTTCAATTTTTTCGAGCTCGGTTCAGTTTTGCGTCCTTCAGCCACGTTCTGCACTGAAGTCTTGACGCTTTTAAAGACGTCTGTTTTTTTTCTCGCTATGTGTCCCTGAGCCCTAAAATGAGCTAGTGGTAAACACACTCACAATTTTCCTTGCTGCAAGGCAGTCTATGTTTCCCTGTTACAGGGAGAAGCCCTCACATTTAGGGTGCCATGTATGGCTTGTTAATGTAATAAACAAGCACGTGACCCAGCTGCATGGATTTCCAACAACCAAACCCGTTTATTAGAAGAAAACAGCACCTTTTATACCTTTGGATGACACGTGATTTGCCTAGCCAACCACCATGGGCCTCACACTGCCCATGTGTGCCAGAGTATACTTTGGAAACTACCAATCCCAGGATGCATCACCCAGCATCCCTGAAACACATTTCCTACAGGCACTCCTATGCCCTTTTATGTTTACTGGGCATGTAAAACATTTGACTAATAAGGAAAAGGCCATGTCCAGGACCAGACCTCCATTAGGATGGACACACATGCCCACAAGACAGCCTGGTACAGCTGTGCATCCATGCATCAGACAGCACACTGGGTCGCCTGCACCACCAGCACCACCATCCGAGATCATCTCCCAAAACTTTCCCTATGACAGATACAGATGCAGCTGTAGGTTGGGTTCTCTGATAGGGACCATTCCAGTCACTTGTGAACCTGAGATTCTGTTAGCAGGTATGGTTTGGGGAAGGAAAAAAATTATGCATAATATGTACATATATGTATACATATATATTTTATATATATATATTCAGAAGTGTTTTCTGTCTTGGGGAAACCTCAGTGTGGCCCTTCAGTACTTAAAAGGTGCTTATAAAAATGCTGGAGAGTGACTTTTTACATGGGCATTGACAGGACAGGGGGAAATGATTTAAAATTAAAAGAGGAGAGATTGAGATTAGATATTAGGAGGAAATTCTTTACTCAAAACTATTTGAGTAGGGTGGTGAGGCACTAGCACAGGTTGCCCAAAGAAGCAGTGGCTGCCCCCTCCCTGGAAGTGTTCAAGGCCAGGCTGGATTGAGTTTGGAACAACCTGGTTTAGTGGAAGGTATCCCTGCCCATGGCATGGGGGTGGAACAAAATGACCTTTAGGTTCCTTCCAATCCAAAACAGTCTGTGATTCTATGATTCAATCCATAGAGGGTGATCTGAACGCTGTTCACCGCTGCATCCCAGGGAGCTCTTTCTCTATATCACTACTCCTTTCCTGACAACTCCACACACATTCTCTGTGTCCTCCAAACATTTTGGAGTCTGGACAAATTCCTTCTCACAGCAGCTCCATCACCCAGACCCCTAAGAGAGTCATTGTGAATGAGAGAACTCTGAACACCTTAGACAATCTCTTGGAAGGTGCCCATCTCCCTTGCAATATATGGACTCAGAAATCATGGCAGGGTTTAGTTCCCAGCAGCCGCATGCCAGGGTCCTGCAGTGTTAAGAGCTAGCTGAGTGCTGAAGGGCTCCAAGCCTCGAGGCTGGTGTGCTCCCTGGATGCAGTGAGCACATTATAACTCCTTCCACTTGATCTCTTTCTCTGATTTGCACAGAACCCAGGAATTGCAAAGAACTGTTGGGCAAAGGGAAGATCTTGAGTGGCTGGTACACCATCTACCCCCAAGGCTGCAATGCCACAGTTGTCTTCTGCGACATGGACACAGATGGTGGGGGATGGATTGTGAGTAGGACGAGAGAGGGAAGTTTTTATGTTGATATAGTGATTTTTGTTAAGGCTGCAAAGGGTGGCTTCAAAATAGAAACAAATGGGAGGAAAACACAGACTGAGCAGACAGCTGAGGTTCACATCAGCAAGCCAGTGTGTCCCTGTGTGGATGCAGGAGAATCTCCCAGGAGTTGTCTCTGGGAGCAGACCAAGGGCCACTCCCTGCTTAAATCAGCAAATCATTTCCTCCTCATTTCCAAGGGCAGATGGAGGACATCCTTTATTGAGGGACTCCTATGAGATTTGCTCCCCAGAGACCCACAGGAGTGTCCTGATGCAGGGGGCTGTGTACCTCAAGTGCTGTGGATGCTTTGGGTGAGGGATGGGCTGGTGTGGCTGAGGGTCTCCTTTCCTGTAGGTTTTCCAAAGGCGCTGGGACGGGTCAGTGAAATTCTTACGAGACTGGGATTCGTACAAACGAGGCTTTGGCAATCAGCTGACAGAGTTCTGGATGGGGAATGACAACATCCACTTCCTCACCTCGCTGGGTAAGGTCTGCCTCTGTCCCGGGCTGGGACCATGAGAGTCCAACGCCTGTACCACACTGGATCATTAAAGACCTCTGAGCTTCTTGCATCCATTTGATGCCCCCCACTGTTAATCCCAAAGGGGATGTAGGTTCTTGCAGACCATTACATACAGGAAATTGTATTCTTAAACAAACAAACAAGTATTCAAGAAAGAGAATGAGCTAGCTGCATGATCTATCCTGGAGACAGGCCAAAACACTTTCCTACTGAAACTGGTTATATTGGCATCATGTTGTCCACACAAGGCTTTGAAGTCTGTATGCAGGAGTCCTGGGCATGTAGCTTTCAGTGTTCATGACCACCCACCATCATATCTGAAAAGGTGCTTCCCAAGAAAACCATCATATGTAGAGGAGGTTCTGTGGGAATATTAAATAAAACATAATTTCTCAAGTAGTGGAAGCTCCTCTCAAGATAGCTCATGGCTCATTAAAACCCCCACCCTGACATCCAGGGATGTATCCACCATAAGCTCTGCACCACTGCTGTCAACCTTCTCTTCTAGGACCCTGTGAACTCCGCGTTGACCTGAGAGACTTTGAGAACAACTACTATTTTGCCAAGTACGCTTCGTTCAGAGTTTTGGGAGAGTCTGAGAAATACAGACTAGTTCTAGGGGACTTCCTTGGTGGAAATGCCGGTAAGTTTGAAGCAGCTCTCTGGGAAAGTCTGTTTTACTAGAGCATTTCAGAAGTGCTCGGCATCTATAATGCAGAGCTGTATCATGCAAACTCCTTCTATCAGCTACATTTTAAAACAGTTTTTTAAAACTGGCCATGGTACCTCTAGTGCATGACCTCTAGGTGCAGGGAAGGAAAGAGACACCCATCACAGAAATGTGACCCAGAGCATTACCTACAAGCCCAGCCACATGGTTTAACAGAAAGTGTGGAGCCTGGTTCTGAGCAGCACCCAATCCAATTGACCTTCCCAACAGCTCTGTAGCAGCCAGGCCAAGTTCTGCTTTTGATTACTTTGGCAGGAAATATTTGACGACAAAGTTTGGCATTTCCAGGGCTGGGGTGCCGTTCAGCTGTTGCAGCAACAGCACTGCATCCTCTTAATACCTGATGTTTTGCTTTTCTTTAAAAAGCAACCAAATTCTCTTCAAAATTCAATATCCCTCACAAAAGAATGAGTGAAATCAACACCCGAGAGACCAGTGCATGTATGTGGCTTTTTACACTGCAGTTCTGTCTAGTATTTGAGACACCAGTGTGTCTGCAGAGAACCCGAACAGTGCAAGAGAAGCGACACCTCTGTACATGCGAGGAGAATCTGATCCATTTGATTCACAGGCATAGACAAATTGTCCGTGTGTTTTGGCAGAGCTCAGGATACTTCTTTTGTCCAGAACCAAGGAAGAAACCTGGGCAACTGGGGCAAGATTACAGTGGGATTTAAAAAATTTGCCTTGCACCCAGCAAGGGCCACTGGTGCCCAGCAAGGTTGCACAGGCACATCAAGGTCCTGTTTGTGATCCTTACTGCAGTAACTGTGAATGTGTGCTCTCTGCAGGAGACTCTTTATCTTACCACAGGGACATGCCATTTTCAACAACAGATCAGGACAATGACATGAGCTCCTTTAACTGTGCCACAGAATACAAAGGAGCGTGGTGGTACAATGACTGTCATTACTCAAACCTGAATGGGATGTACTGGATGGGTGTGCATGGGAGCTACGCTGATGGTATCAACTGGAAGACGGGCAAAGAATACCACTACTCCTACAAGCGAACAGAAATGAAATTCAGGCCAGTCTAATATGGTGAGAGGGTACCTGACTAGCACCAAGAGGTGCCACTCACCAGCCAAGAGAAGACAGAAAACATAAAGTTGGAGGACAAAAATAGACCAGAAAGGATATTATAGATTGCGCCTTCTACGTAGAACAGACTTTTTGAGGCCAGAAAAGATCAGTACTTTTTTGAGCTCCCATAAGCACCACTCTCACCCTGACTACCTCCAGCAGCTGCACTGATGTTGAGCTCAAGTGTCTTTTTCTGAAAAGTGCTTTACTTTGATTTAAAGACCAAGTGATGGGTGAGGTCAATGCATCTGAGTAAAGCTCTCTGATATTATTACCCTAAATGTAATTACTGGTAATTTTCAGTCTAATTCATGTATATGAAGCCTCCAATATTCTTGCAGCTTCTTTCTGTTGGACCCAAGACTCATCTGAAAGGGACTGAATTCCTGACCTGCCCCCTCTTCCTGCAGGCTGTGATGGAGCCATGATGTAGAACAGCATGGAAAGGACTGAGGGTCCAGCACAGGGCTGTCAGCATCACCCCTTCCCTCCTTCCCTCCTCAAGTGCTCCAAAGCCTCATGTGGGACCCCAGTTGCTGGAACCACAGCAGAGTTGCTCAGCACTTCCCACCACAACACAGCTGCAGTTGGCCCAAAGGCCAGTTTCAGCCACTCTGCCAGGGCAGGTTTCTTGATCTCATTTGCCCCTACGGACCAATAACTCTATGCAAAAGTCTGTGTGGTACCAAGACACTACAGCAGGTACCAGTGTTTTCCATTTCGCCACTTCTCTCCCCCACAAGAGCTCCATTTTAGTTTTCTCCCGCTACCAATCTGATTGGCATACCCTCAGCAGGAGCAAGGTCCCACATCATCCAGCTGTATCTCATTCATCAGCTTCTGATACTGTCGTCCAGGAGTAGCTTCTCAGAGAGGCCCACGGTGCTGCCACGACAGCTCTAGAGATCCACAGACTCCTCTGCAGAGAGGTACAAGCAGGTGCTTACAGCCTGGGCTTTAACCTAGCTAAAAGTGCTAAATCCCCTCTCTTTGCTATCCTCTAGCTTCTCTTTTTACTACACAGAAACTGTCAACATTTAAATTTTGTTTGTGAAGGACACTGGTGTCTGAGGGATTAAGAGAACACCAAGAGCAGTTTACCCAAACCCATACCACGATATGACTCCATAGAGGAAATATTCAGGTATGACAAGCCATCAGCAGTGCTAGGTGAGGATCTTGCTGCAGAGTGAAATTATCCTGAGTCCTTATGCTAGTTTGGCTGGGGTAGAATTCATATTCTTCACAGTGGCAAGTATGGGGCTGTGTTTTGGATTTGTGCTGAAGACAATGATGATAATATAAAGATGTTGATATTATTGCTAAGCAGGGCTTACACAAAGCCAAGGCCTTTTCTTCTTCTCATGGCAAGGAATCTGGGAGGAGACATAGCTGGGACAGCTGATCAAAGGGATATTCCATACCATATGACATCATGCTCGGCATATAAAGTGGGGGAGAAGAAGGAGAACGGGGGGTTCATATGGACTGATGGTGTTTGTCTTCCCGAGTAACCATTACACGTGATGGGGCCCTGTTCTCCTGGAGGTGGCTGAACACCTGTCTGCTCGTGGAAGCATAATTAATTCCTTGTTTTGCTCTGCTTTGTTTGTGTATGCAGCTTTTGCTTTCCCTATTAAACTGTCTTTATCTCTACCCATGTTTTCCAGCTTCTTCTCTTCTGATTCTCTCCCTGATCCCACTTGTGGGGGAGTGAGCGAGCTGCTGAGTGGGGCTTAGTTGCTGGCTGGGGTTAAAGCACAACAGTCCCCTAAGCTGGCATAGTAAGGCAGCCCCTCCAGCATGAGTCCCAACCACTCCGATGAACAGGAATGCTCCCTGTGATGATGTAGGCATGTGGGGGAGAAGGTTATAGAATCACAAAATGGTCTGGGTTGGAAGGGACCTTAAAGAGCATCTAGTTTCACCTGCCCTGCCATGGGTAGGGATGTCACCCACCAGATCAGATTGTTCAGGTCTCCATGCAACCTGGCCTTGAACAATTCCAGGGATGAGGCACCACACCTGCAGCAGTCACTGAGTCGGCTTGCACTAACTCCAGCCAGGAAGAACTAAATTCAGGATCCAGTTCCCCAGATACCTGTGCATACAGAGCTCCCACCTCTCCTCAACAGAAGGGTTCTGATTCCTCCATGACCTCTCACACCTGACCAGTGAGGGGAGAGGCAGGAAACAGACTTGAGATATCCTGAAGAGATGTTTCCTCAACTGGCAGGACACCATCTAGTCCTTCTTGCTTCCTTTCCTCTTGCCAAGGGTCCCCAGAAGAAAAGCAGAATAGCCCCAGTCACTCTGTGACTGATTCTGGCCACTGATCATTTCAGAGCTTTTTCTCTGTCTTGGAAAGCTCATGGATACTGTTTGCATTTTGTGTTTGAAACCTCTTTTCTTCTTGTTAGTAGATCCAGAATGGGCCAACCCTGAAGCCCAGAAATGACAATGTCCCTGGAGCTTTCTCCAGACATTTCCCTTGCTGCAAATGACAACCGACTCTGTGAGAGTCATCAGGAGCAGCCTGAGACAGGCTACGGGGTCTGGGAAGAGGACTTAGTTTCTACCACATCATGGAGCCAGACACACACTGAGAGGCTGGAAGCATCTCTGATGGCTTGTTGATGCACAACCATCTGAAAGCAAAAGCAGGGCCAAACTGGTCCTCTCAGGGCCCACCCAGTCCAGCCTCCTGGCAAGATTGAGACTGCCTCAAGCAGTAGCCTCATGCATCGCCAGGGATGTGGGAAGACTCAGCAGTCCACACTACCCATGAGATTACTGCAGGACAAGGGCTGCATGAAGGCTCTTTCCAGGGAGGAATACAGCCACATGTAAGTGCCCAGAGATTTCACAAATCTGAAAGCTGACTGATATCAAGAAACTGGACTTTCGAATGAAAGGTCTTCCTACCTAACACCGACGATTATCCTGTCACGATTTGTGTTTGGATGCAGCAGACCCAGGGGTGAACACCTTTCTCCAATTTTCAGAAGTGTCTCTGTGAGAGGGCTGCATCTGAAGAGATATGTATGAGTCAGCATAAAACAAGCTGCAGCTGGGAAAGGGAAATCATTTCACTGTGGTTTTGTCCTTGGGGTGGAAAAGATGAATTCAACACCCTATGCACTACATTCGTTGTGCTGCTGTTACCTTGTGCCCACCCAAACCAAGTGAAGGGGTGACTTAACACACCAGCTGACCTTGTCACAAACCACGGGCACACAGAGGCAGTGAACTCAAAATACCAATCTCATAGGTAAATAATCTTCTGTAAGTTACTCCTAACTAAAGGTTTGTTCTGCTAGCTGTGCTGAGAGAGCTCTCACACAAGTGAAACTTGGTTCAGAGAGTGAATCAACAGCCCCAGTGAGAAAAGCACCTGCATCCTGCACTGGCCTGCAGGGAGCCACAGGCCTCTCACCATGAAAGCAGTAGAGGTGGAAGTGGTCGGACCAGCAGACTGTCCCATCCTGACCTTGCCCCAGGTCCCCTGCTCTTTCCCAGCATCACCTTAACACAGGGCAGCAGCCAGTGGAGGTGATAGAGCAGGTGACACACAGAGCTTAATTTTATATTCTTTTTTTCTATGTATTTTGCTACTTTTGACAACAAAATCTGCACAGAGCATAAATATCCCCTAATCTTATCCAGCATTCAGTTTAGCTCCCTGACAAGCCTGTGTACAGCTAGGTGACCCTATCAAGGAACATTGACTGATCGTGTCTCCCCATCTGCTATTTGACTATGAAAGGGAAGATGTGCATGAAAGGCAATGGGCTAGGTATGCAAGTGGGGGTGTCCTCTCCTCCCCCACCCCATCCCACATGCCAGAGTGAGTTGGGAAGGACAAAGATGAGGAAATAAGCTTGGGGACAGGTTTCTCAGGTGAGGCACCACCTACCCAGCCTCAGCATCTGCTCAGCTCCTCTCACACAGGTCAGGGCCACCTGCAGTTCGGTTTTACCTTGCAGACCCTGGAGAAGAAGCCACTGCCTATCAGCTCAGCATTGAAATTCTCCCAGAACTCCAGCGTCCTGACAGCTGTGCGCAGCCTCTGCCAGTGGTCCAGGTGGTAGTAGGTGTCAGACGACTCCCCATAGTACTGCCTGGGGTCAGAGAGCTCCAAGGAGATCAGCCATGCCTCGCACATCATGGGAACAGCAGTTGGAACACGGGGGATTCCACAGTGAGGTAACAGTGGCACTTGGACATCACATAACTGCACAAGAGACTAGGACCGGATGAAGCCTCAGGAACAGAGAAAGAGGAGATGAGACAGCAAGATGATGCACTGGGAAGCACACTTGGGAACTGTCTCATGGTTAAGTCACCCTTCAAAAGTCATTAGGCTTAGTTTTGCCTTATGCAGGTTGTATTTAGACTTTTTTAGACTAAGACTTTAAATATGTCAAATTAGCATATATTCGCTTACATCTTCTAAAGGTTTACCATAGATAAGATTCAGCACCTTCAACACACAATAGTGCAGTCCAGGAAAAGTCCAGAGGACTTATCTTGATGATGTTGAGTTAAAGCTATTTTGCCTAATTTGGGCCTTCAGCATAGGTCACATACCACATCCTAATGCCACATATGTTACTTCAGAGCTTTAGACAGTGCTTAGCTACTACTGCATACATCAGGCCATGGACTGAGTGTGCCAGCAGGAAACACTCCCTTTTAAAAGGGTTCTCACCTGGCAGGTGACTACAGTTCACTATAAGCCCTAAAGAATCACAGAACAAGGAAATGCCCCAGCAGCTCTCCTGCTGTCTGAGTATCTCAAATTTGACTCCAAAGCCCTAGTGGCTCTGCTGAATTGTCTTCCTTTTACAGTGCTCTGACTCTCACACATCCCTCTGCAGTCCTCTCCCTCCATTCTCCTTTCTGCCTTTTATAGCAGCAGGCTCACACTGCCCCACCCAAAGCCATGTGCCAT